TTATAATTATCTTTTTACAATAAAGGTAAAATAAAAATAAATACATTAAATGATATTTTAAAAAAATAAATAATTAAATTTAAATACCCCTAATTAAAGATAATATCTAGCAAAATTGAATGGAGGGAGTATTTAATTAGTAGATGTCCTTGTAATGTGTTAGGCCTCTATGATCAAAGGTTAAAAAATTTTGCAAACAATGCTAAGTGAGTACCCGATATCATAGTAGTAAATGGGAAGTGCCATAACACAATCCTAACTTCTTTTTAGTATTTTTTTAAAAATAAAATTTTACAGACCAATGTAGCGCAAGTCCTAACTACACTAACAAGTAGGGTTGGCACTATCCCATAAATGTCACAATTATTATTGTACTGTCTCATTATCAGCGAAAACAGTATGCTAAATTACTTATGATAAATTTAAATGGTAATATGGTAATACCATTTAGACCTGTGGTACGATACTTATATTGAAGGTCATTACCATTTTTATTATATGGTTATCAAATTCACCACTCATTCAAAACTTTTTTTTTTTTTTATTCTACAAAGTTTTCAATTGTTGCTAGTTCTCTTTTTTTTTTTTTTTTTTTTTTTTTTTTTTCTTTTTTTTTTTCTTTTTTTTTTTTTTTTTTTTTTTTTTTTTTTTTTTTTTTTTTATTCTACAAAGTTTTCAATTGTTGCTAGTTTTTTTTTTTTTTTTTTGATGTGTGCATGTTTAGTATAATTATATATTTGTATGCTTCAAGATGACGAAGAACGGTATGGAGAAAATAAGTTTTAAGATAATTTTGAGTTTTTAATATTAAATTTTGAATGATTTGAATTAATTGATAATAAAGAAAATAAGTTTAAAGATGGTAATATGGTATGATATTGGTAAAGAAAGTTTTATTACCATTAAAAACGGTTGACAACCATTACCAAAAAATCATGGAAGTGGTAACTCTTTTTCATTACTACTTAAACGGTTACCATCAATTGAGTGCAGTACGGTACCATACCGTACCATGCCCAGCCCTACTAACCATTTAGCATTTCTCTTTCCTTTTTGTTCTTCTGTTAAATTTAAGCTATTTAAATCAAGAGCATGTATTCCCTGCTGTTCAATAAAAGGATTTATATTC